TGATATTAGTCTAGGAGCAGGAACACGTATTTTCAAAGCTCCAGTTGGCAATAAAAGCTACTGAGTGACCTTGGAGCAGCCATTAAGTCAATCTAACCAACCTCAATGGGAGGATGAAATGGCTGGGGGAGGGACCATATCTGCTCTCTTGAGCTCACACAGGAATAGTCATAAATATTAATTATGGACTGAGAGAACTATAATCCAAAATTTCTTGTTAGCACTGGTTTGCCTCCCTATTTGTCTAAGATCCCTAACCCACTGGATATCAGTCTTACAAATAAATGAATATTAGAATGTGGGGAACTGCACTTAGAGTCTCATACATGTAATATTTACATTCTTTCTGTGAGTTGACATGGTCTAGTTGGGTGTTTATTCTTCTGATTCTCAAAGGTACAATTGGTTAAAACCAAAGTCAACACAACTGAAATGTATTCTAATGAAATAAAAGATTCTAAAAATCACCTGCTACTGACTTAAAACCCAAAATGTACTCAATGAAGCAGTTAGCAGTTAGTTCCCTACCATTTTTGTCCTTCATCATGTCCATCTTTGCACAAAATGTTCCTTTAATATTTCCAATTTTCTTGAATCTAAAAATCACCTGCTACTGACTTAAAACCCAAAATGTACTCAATGAAGCAGTTAGCAGTTAGTTCCCTACCATTTTTGTCCTTCATCATGTCCATCTTTGCACAAAATGTTCCTTTAATATTTCCAATTTTCTTGAACAGATCTCTCGTTTTTCCCTATTATTTACCTTATTATTACATATTTGCACTGTTCATTTATGAAGGCCCTCTTGTCTCTCCTTGTGATTCTTTGGAAGTCTGAATTTCATTTTCTTTAACTTTCCCTATCTTGCATTTTGTTTCCCTTCTCTGCTATTTGTAATGCCTCGTTGGACAGTCACTTTGCTTTCTTGCATTTCCTTTTCTTTGTGATAGTTTTGGTTCTGCCCCCTGTACCATTTTCGCTGCCCAGTAAGCGAGGAAAGGGCGCAAAAACACTGCAGGTGGCTATTTTATTTACCCGGCGGCCATTTTGGAACCGCCGATCAGCTGTTCTTAAAACATCGCTATGCAAAAATCGGTAAGCGAAACGCTTACCGATCATCGCAAAGCAATGTTTTACCATCTAAAACATTGCAATGCGATCGCAAAAAACACATCGCTATGCGGATTCGTCGTTAAACGAAGCGCTCGTTATGCGGGGCACCACTGTACTTCAAATCTTAATACACCCAAAAATGAAATGTAGCACAAAATGATAGCTCCCTCCCCCTATTATCACCTTAGAATATTGTTACTTACAACTTTATATGTGTTAAATTAGGAAGAAACAATAGAAATGATTAGAAAATTGTAACAACAAAGTGTCTTATAGATTTTAATGGTTAGCAAGTTTTATTCACATTAACCTCTCAGCTCCCACACAATTCAGCAGTTTCTAAATTTCCCAGTTTTTAAGATTGCTACAAAAGTGTTTGGATTTGTTTTTGTTTGTTTTTTTGGTACAACAGGCTAATATAACTTATCCCTTTTGAAATTAGAAAATAAATTGTCATCAGTGTACTACCAAATGGGTAATTTTTGTAGCCTGTCTTCTGAAGACAAGCGGTAAGAAATTAGAAATGCTTAACTCCCTGATAATATGTTACACAGGTGCATATTTTATGCATTGATATCTATTGTGATGCTATACTGGCCTAGATTACAGTATTATGATTATAGCATATGAAGTTTGTCTATATGTTATAATAATGAATTATTACAATGTAGCCTCAAATCGTATTTTGGGCATACCTTCTTCTTGAATTCACTCCAGAATATTGGACATATATAAGGGCCTAGAATATGCTTTATGTGTATCACTGTCAACAATGCTTAGTGCTGTAACTAATACATCATAACATCAAGTATATTACAGCGCAGAGTAAATGTTTAAAGTTTTCTGTTTTCCAACAATAAGCATGAAATATGCACTTGTGTAACATATTATGTGTATCACTGTCAACTATGCTATATGTGTATCACTGTCAACAATGCTTAGTGCTGTAACTAATACATCAGAACATCAAGTATAATACAGCGCATAGTAAATGTTTTCCAACAATAAACATAACCCACTATTATCTTTTTTTTCTAGTTGATGGTTGCAGAGAAGAATGGGACTATACGGTTCTATGATCTTAGGACCCATCAAGCGATTCTGTCCCTCACAACTGATCAAACACCTCTGATGTCTGCAAGCTGGTGTTTAAAAAATACTTTTAAAGTTGGCGCAGTTGCTGGAAATGACTGGTTTATCTGGGACATTACTCAGTCTAGGTATAGTTTTGGATAGCATCTGGTTAATTTCTGTTTCCCAGCTTCAAGATGTTAGTTAAAAGGAGGGGGGGCACTGAATATACACAAAAAGCTGTAGTCACCCCTGCCCATTGCAATGTAAGTTGTTTACTTCTTTACTATAAATTAGAATGCAGGTAAATTAAAATGAAATGTTATGTAAACAAATCTAACATAGAAAAGAAGCAGTTAGCAATGGATTCTTACACAATGGAGAAGTATAAACATCTAGGAGATGGAGTGGGTAACTTAGTTTTCCATCTATTAGACTCCATAATAACTCACAGTATAAACTCAACTACTAACTACATATAGGCCAATATGCTTAATTTTGACTGGGTCATTCCAGTGATCATTTATGTGCACATTTATACACACAGAGCACCTTTTTATGCATTTGTTAAGTATGAACATTGCTTCCAACTGAGCATGTAAACACTGAGTACACTGTATCTGTTTTTGTACTACAAACTGAAACATAATCTGTAACACTATCCAAAAAGGGGGGAAAGTGTTTTTTTTCTTGGTTAAACTGACTGTTTCATCTTCTCTTCACTCCTTATTTCAGTCTATTTTCTCAATAGGATAGCAGAAAATATAAAATATTAACAATACAGTATAGAGAACAACAGGAAAGAAAAAAATCTACGATATTTGAAGCTGAAACTGAAGCTGGGTGCACTGACACTATTTTGCTTTGAAAAATAATTCGACTATGTCATATTACATATGCACCAACTATTTAGTGTACCATTACTTTCACACACATTTCCAAATTTCATTAAAGTTCTATGGGAACACAGCATTGTTACACTTTTTGCTAAAATGGCAGTTGTTTTCAGATAAGGCTGTTTAAGAGGAAATTAACATACTTTTCTAGAGTTTCTGGTAGAGTGAGGTGTTGCTATCCACAATGGTATGCAGTTTCTCTGGAGGGTTTATTATTTATGAAATTGAGTATGAATATCAGTATTAAAAAATATCACTGCTTTCCTTCACAGTTACCCTGCTGAGAAGAGACCTGTCCATGCAGATAGAGCCAGATTATTCAGGTTTGCTCTGAGCATTTTTTTTTCAATTGAAGTTGCATCTCTTGGA